GCATTCATTTTACTACCATGTATATGGGAAACAGCAGTGAATAAAACTGACCTCGCCTCTACCCCTGTGTTGCCTCCAGTAGATCATTCATTCTCTCTTGGGTTTTTATCATTGTAAGATAGGAGTTTTTTCCCTTTTGCTTTTCACTAGTAAACAATTCCACAGGCCTACTGAAATTAAATGAAAATTTCCAAATTAAATAGAATCACTGATGTTTTTAAAAAAATGTTCTGAGTTTGCTCTTGCCCTTCAGGGCTGTCTATCTTCAAGTATATTATCTTGTTAGTAGTTTCTTTTACATTACTCAAAACTCTACTGTGTCTCATACATGTAAATTAAAATATGAATAACTGGTAAGTTTCCTTTTACAACCTGCCTTATTCACTCTGTATGAAAAATGTTTTTAAAGCAAACAGTGACATTTTCTGAATTGTTTACTAATGGTATTTTATGATCAGCATAAGAGACAATAAACATTGATGATTGATGGCATTTGCCTCTAATTAGCAAAATCTATGTTCGATATTTACGTATGAAAGAATTGTTGATGCAGGTAAGTGTTGTAAAACTTCACAGCTGTTAGCAAAATGAAAACTAGGAAAATTAAGAAACACTTTCCATGCAGGCCTGATGTTTTGCTGGCATCTCATAGGAATTGGTTTTAGTAGACCTTCCTGGTGTATGATTCATTTCTGCTGGTTATTTTGTTTGTTTCAGTCATTCTTTAGAAAAATGTAAAATACAGGAAGATAAACCTGTGTGGATGAGTGTGTCTACACACACGCATGCACAAAACACAGAAATTTCTTCTAATTGTTTGTATTTGCGCAAAGTCGCCCTGGAAAAAAATACCTGTTCTATTACCAACAAAAACCTGGAAGAGTATTCTGAAATGCTGTTTCATCTTAGAGCAATTTGCAATGGATACATGTATTTTCTACCTTGCTTTACGATTCTTTAAACCAAGGCAAAGAGGAATTTTCGTTACTTGAAAAGCATAGTAACTAATCTTTACTATTTTTGTTAAAGAAAGTAGAAAAGAAAAACATACATGTAAGTTTTGTTGCAGACTTTTCAGAGTAGTATTTCCAAGCCTTTTAGGAGATTTTCTTAATCTTATAAAAGGGAATACACAGATCTTTTAGTTAATATTTTAGTTAGGGCTGTATAAATAGAACTGGACTTTATGTTTATTATATCAATCTAAGTAGTAATTCATTTTAACTAGCTCCTAATTTACATTGTTTGGTGAAATTAGCTATCCTTTGAAATAGTTGACAACTCATAAGACTCAGAATAATTGGAATTTAGGGAAATTAACTGTAACATTGTAATTATGTTTTGTGATAAAATAATTTAAAATGATAGCTTTGTTATTTTATTTCAGACTGTAAAATATATAGAAGGGTAATTTTTAGACTGTTGGACTATCTCAAAATAAAATACACAATTCTAAACTTTATTGAAATACTTTAGACACTGAAGTATTTTTATTACAAAATACCATTGAACAGTAAGCATAAATAAAAATGTTATGAAAGTATTTGAGATGCAATAAAATTTATATTGGTTGGGATATATATCCATCTTTATTGTTTAGTAGTCAACTTAGATTTTAGATTTTTTTTCCTTCCTCATTATCCACTCAAATATACTAGTTATTAATTGAACAGTTATTTAGATTATTTAAAATTTACTTTGTAAACTGTATTTACTTTAAGGGATCATATTTGGCGACTCTAATAGGAAACAGGCACTTTCTCCTCTTCTGATCTTCTCAGTGTAATGACAGGATTTATCAGCTTGTAAATCAGGTTGCTAACCTGCCCTTGTCATAGCGTGCCGTAGAATACAAGTGACCCAGGAGTGTAGGGCAGCAGCCTCTTCTTGACCACACATAGGCTGTGAAGTTGTTCATCTTCTATGGGCCTCTCTCCTTAAAATGGCAATGATGGAAAATGCTCTTGGATTCATTGAATTCCAGGGACGTAATTGAGATGAAAACACTCTATACTTGTAAGGTACTTCTTTTATTAAAGTAACAAAATACACTGAATGGTCTTTCAGTTTCTTAATTATCCTACCAAAAACTCAGTTTGTGCCCTGGGCAAGTAAGTATTTACAAAGTTAATTTTATTATTGTGCAATTTCGATGTGCAAAATTTTTAGTTCTTCCATTTGTGCATGCCCTGTGCTTTACAGAAGAATGAAGCTTTTGCTTTAACTTTTGAAATACCTTTTATTGGTCTAAATTTTTTATTCTTCTTGTCTTTTAAACTATGAGAATAATGCTGCTTTTATATATACCCTTAGTATTTTTGTAATGATGCTTGAATGTCCTCTGTTACATATTTTTTTAGACATCATCAGATTCTTAAAATATGTGAAAATTTTATTTTAGGGAAAATTATCAGACTTGGGTGGTTTAAGACTTTAAAGTTATTTTTATTTAACCTGTCAGTTAATCTTTTTAGTTTTGTGTTTCAACTATTCAATTTATTGTGGCATTCTTGAGTTCTTCTAATCGTGTCTGGATATTCATCTTTAAAATATTCAAAGTTTACTAATCTCTAGATGCACTGTACTCTGTACTAGATAATTCTAGATTTTTCAGACTTTCGACCATTTTTTCACATGTACTTATACAATCAAGAATTATTAACAAGTTTTTTCTATGTGCACTCTAAGTCTACTAAAGATAGTGCTACTAATAGACATCTTCTTAGCTATTTTAAGATTTTCCAATCATGCTCTCTTAAACCAATGATGCTTTCTTAACACCTCCTTCTCTTGTAGCAAAACATATATGTGTGTGTGTATTTATATGTATATATATATATATGTGTGTGTGTGTACAATCCCTTCTCCTCCATTCTTCTCTCGGGACCTTGGGCACACACGCACATGCGTCCGGCGTGAGATTTAAGCCACCGGGTCCGGGACGCAAACTGCGGTCGACTATGTGGGAGTAGAGCGACATAGCCATTACGCTAACTGCTGGTTCCCTAGGCAATGTTTCTAAGGGAGTTTATATTCAAATGGATAAAAGGAAAAAGGAAAGGCAGACAGCATGAGCCAGTGGCTAGAAAACTGAAAAGATGGCACATTAAGAGTGTTGTGTGAGATCCACACAAGAACACTAGGCTGTGGCCATACCATAATTGTGATGTCATGACTTCTGTCTGTGTATTTGTATCAGGACTTGCAAGATGGGTGTCCATAGTTTCTGGGGAAAAAATCTCAGAGACAGTATGGGACCACTCTTTGAAGAGATGCTCTTCCATCCTCTCAATGACTCAGAGGATGACTTTGTGCAGAAAAAACACATAGACTGAAAAATGCTGAGTCAAACAAGAAAAGAGAGAAGCAGAGAGACAGAAACAGAAGAAAGGAAGTGGAAAGGGAAGAGAGAGAAAGAAAAGGGAAAAGAAAAAATGCATAATCAGCATTGATTTAGGAGATTCAAACTCTGCAAACGAGGAAAGTTTAGGAATACTGTAACCAATTTATTTTTTTTAAAGTATGTATAAGAATGATACATGATAAAAATCAATCTAAGTATATTTAAATGCTTTTCAATGCGGAAGAATCATTTTAAGTGACAAGAAAGCATTCTTTTATAGTTTAATTGGCTGTTTGATTTTTTTTTTTCATTCTCAGGATGTATCGTAATGGGAATCCTATGATCAGTGGCTTCTTTTATTTAATGTATAAAGTAGACTAGCCAGGACTCGCAGCTTGTTTGAAATTTACTTACTGTAGTCAAGGCACATGAACATCTTAAATATGTTTTTGAGATAGAACCTAGTTTTATTTGTGTAGGCTGAGTGGACTTAGATGATGCCAGCTAGTGAATTTAATGAGAAAAACAGGACTCTGTGGCTTTAGACTCTGAGGAAAAAAGTGAATTATTATAAAGTGTACACTAGTATAAAATGTGTATTTATCTTTCTGTAAGCCTGAGTAAGTAATTTCTTGTAAATAATAATCACACTGTTCTTCACATGAACACAGATCCCATGGTGCTTGGAGAATACAAATTATTTGAATGCATTGCCCAGTATATGGGACTTTAGGGTATGAGTGGTATTTTTCACTGAAAAATTTCACATGCAAAAAGAATTCTAAATTTAAAAAAAGGAAAAAAAAAAAAAAAGGAACCAGGGGCTTAGAGAATGCTAGTTACCTGTTATTTCCTCTTCACAAGGAAGAATAACTTCAGCAACATTGATAACCTATACCTTTCAGTCCGGTTTGAACTTTCCAGTTTGAAATATTTTGTCTTACCAGGTTAGTTCTTATATTAGAAAGCTCTTACATAGAAACTGAGTATTGATCATGTAACTTGGTAATAATCACGTGATATATATATATATATATATATATATATATAGCTTTCCTTGCATGCTTTTGAAATCCAAAAAGTTGTTCCTGCATTTCAGCAATCCTTGCAGAATTCTGAGACATAAGTTGGCAGGTATTGCAAGTAACAGAAGTGTAGCTCTAAGAAGCCCAGTTGCACAAGTGTACGCGGTGTGAGTACGAGTACTTTCCTGGGCAGTCTGTTCTTTGGCAGTTCTAGCTGTGCTCTCTAAAAGGAGACTGAATTTGTCTCTCCCATAACATTATTAACTTAATGAAATTTTGATCAGTTTGGTCTACAAACAGTAACCCTGATAATCCATTTTCTCAGTAGGCAAGTTAGATTTAAAATAATATTAAATTGAATTTGGTAAAGAAGTGGGGAGTCATACAGCATCACAAATTGCCATTTATCTAGGTAATGCTGTTTTACTTTTAATTTCTGCGTTTATTTGGTCATGTAAATGTGCTTAGAACTAATAAAAATATGCCGTTGGTGAGAATTAATGCATGACTTGTCAGCAGAGTATGGAATGTAAGCATGTGCCATGAAATCGCAATTCTTTTATCCTGTATTTTCCATTATGTATGCACTGGTTCCATTTTAGAGTATAGTCCATTCTTATTTTTCCCCATAGATTGGCCAAAATGGGAAGGATTGGATTCCACTCTCTTCCACGAAGAGTCAATGGGACTGGCTAAGATCTAAGTCTAAGGCTTTTTCCATCTCTTGTAATCAGGTATGCACTGAATAAAGATCTCTGTAATTCTACGCATGCACCTTTAAAGTATTTGGATTTTATGAATATGCATTTTGTGAATATGGTTTTTGAGCTCACAACCTTACTTTTATAGTTTTAATTGCACCTATGATAACTAATTTGAGTTTTGTAATATATTAAGATTATAAAGGTGTTATCAGCCATGAAAAAATTTCAGCTGGTCTTAGAAAAGTGTAATATTTGAAATCAGTGCAATTCTTCATTGCTCAGTATGTACATCCAAAGGTAAAGAATTAATTTATTACTCCCTGTTGAGTATCACCACTTTCAATGCAAGCAAATGTTTGTACATTGTTCATGGTGCACTAATTTTAATACTTTTTTTTTTTCAATAACTTAATTTTTCTCTGCTGGAATTATCTGCCCACTATGGTTGGATCTTGTAAAACAGTGGCAAATGTGACCAGTCTTTGAAATATTTTCAAAAAGTAGCTATTTATAAGAATTTAGATAGCCTGCATTTATTTTGACTTTGCAGTTGGGAGGTAAGCAGCTTGTTTCCAGTAGTATTCTTAGTAAGTTCATAAAAGCATCGTGTTACATGTTCTCCCTCATATGTGAAAACTGAAAAAGCTGACCCCAGAGAAGTAGAGAGTAGAATAGTGAGGACTAGAGCCTGGGGAAGTTGGGGGAAGAGGGAATAGAGAAGTGTTGACTGAGCCAGACAAGGTGTGGTGGTTGAGGAGGCTGGATCCCACATGGCCTACTGCATGGTTCAAATCCTAGACCCAGCAGCTTGAAAAGCACTATTTTAAACAGAGACGTTGGGCCAGCAGATGGCATAGCAGTTACGTCACTTGACTCCCACATGACCGGCCGCGGTTTGAGTCTGGGACCCAGTTTCTTCAAACTCACAGTGGGTGTGTGTGCATACATGCACAAGATTCTGGAAGGAGAAAAGAGGAGAAGAGATTTCAGCATGGCCATTCCCCCTGGGGGTTGATTTCTCACTGTCTCTCTCTGGTGAGTACACACACCCTATAGCAAAAATCTCTCCCCCAACAAAAAGGTATGTTGGCTAATAGATACAAATTACAATTAGGTAAAAGGAATAAGTTCTATTTTCTGTAGCATAGTTGGGTAACTACAGTCAGTAATATTTTATTATATATTTCAGAATAGCATAAAGGATATAATTGAATGTTCCAAAACAAAGTGATGATAAATGTTTGAGATTATTCATATGCCATTTACCCTGATTTGATCCTTACACGTATTCAAGTCCTGAAAAAAATCACTGTGCCCAGTAAATATGTATAATAAATATGTGACGAAATCTGTTTTTAAAGATTATGTCAGGGACCAGCAATTGTCGTAGTGGCTGTGTCACTGGACTCCCATGTAGTCGGCCACAGTTCGAGTCCTGGCTTAAACTCACGCAGGGCGCATGTGCATGCATGCCCAAGATCACGAGAGGAGAATAGAGGAGAAGGGATTACAGCGTGACCATCTTCCCGGGACGGGGGAGGTGATTTCTTGCTTTCTGTCTCTCTGTCTCTCTGTCTTTCTGGCAAGTGCACGCACCCTAGAGCAAAAACCTCTCCCAAAAAAAAAGAAAAAACAGTTTGTCAGGAAATCAAATAATGAAGATTAATTTTTTTCCTACTTTCTCAGAATGCTTATACCAGTTTACAACGTTGTTAGTGGTTACAGCAACACAACTGTTTAGGTATTTCTGACAGAAGCAGAGGCACTATCTTTCAAGTGAGAATGTAACCGGAAAAGAGAAAATTTCAGAATATCTAAAACCAGAGGTAACATACAGTTTGAGTATCTCTCATTCAAAATGCTTAGAGAGAGTGTTTTGGATTTCAGATTTTTTTTAGATTTTAGAATGTTTATATGTGTGTGTGTGTGTGTGTGTGTGTATGTGTGTGTGTATATATATATGTGTGTGTGTATATATATAATGAGAAATCATCTTGGGGATATATCAAATGAGAAATCTTACAGATGGGACCCAAATCTAAACACAAAATTAATTTAGATTTCATACATATCTGTACACATAGCCTAAAGATACTTTTACACAATATTTTGGTTTTGCAGCATTTTCACTGCAATTTATCGCATAAGGTCAGATGTGGAATTTTCCACTTGTGCTGTCATGTCAGTGCTCAGAAAGTTTTAAATTTGGCTGGGACCAGCAGATGACATAATGATTATGTCACTGTACTCCCACATAGTCGACCGCAGTTTGAATCCCGGAACTGGCAGTTTAAACTCACACCGGGCACATGTGCATGCGTGCCCAAGATCCTGAGAGGAGAATGGAGGAGAAAGGGTTATGGCATGGCCATCCCCCCGGGGGGTGATTTCTTGCTTTCTGTCTCTCTATCTCTCTCTGTTTTTCTGGTGAACACATGCGCCCTATAGCAAAAACCTCTCCCCCCCCAAAAAAAGTTTTAAATTTGGAGCAGTTTGGATTTTTGGATGAGGGGTGCCCAAACCGTGTTATGTTAGTATTGGTAATGTCAGGTACCCACAAAGGGGACTTTTAGACCACTGGAACAGCATGAAGGCCTTTCCTGTTTCTACATAACGAAGACGAATGGACACCTAAAGCAAACACTGATTAACTCACCCACATGCTTTATCACCGTAATCAAAGGAGTGGGTATAATTGCTGTATTTGCCCTGTTTAGGGGCAGCCTCTACATTAAAGTGCATAAGACCTATTATAGTAAACACTGAATTTTACAAAAATAGATTTTTAGAGTGCCTGTGATAGTGTAACTGCAGTCTGAAAATCAACCAGGTTGTGAAAGCAAGAGACAGTCTGATGTCAAAACCAGGTGAAAGGGTTTTTGGTTGGTTTGTTGTTGTTGTTGTTGTTTTAACATATACATAGAGTAGGTTGAAAATCCACTGATTAGCAGTTCACAGTTATTTAGCCACATTCAAATTTTCAATTTAAAAATCAGATTTTTTTAGGAGATACTGCAGGTACTGTTATTCCTGTAGTCTCTTCAAAGTACATCACTAAACTAGCATTCGCGGGCCTTGTAGAATCACTTAACATCAGTCGGGTGTTTAGAGAGCTGGTTTTCTTACTCTGAGAAATAGAAGGTATTTACTGTTTCTTATCTGTAAATTGCAAATGTTTTAATTCAGTTTTAAACTTTTTATTTAAAAAGATGCTCTTTTCTATAAAACATGTACCTTTTATTCTTTCTCACAGCATCAGTAATGAATTTAAACTCTGCCACACCATTTTTCCTAACCTGAACCTCCTTAAAGTGATATCCTCGCACGAGTATCGTGCACTAATCAGACCTTTCAACATAAGTGCCACACTGAGGTTTACAGGTGTGTCAAAAGGCCAATCCCACGCTCTTGGAGAGGCCTGGTGCCTGGCTTATCTACTAACCTCAGTGTGCCTAACGTACATAATCGTCTTCTATGCCATGAAGAATGTTGAGGAGAAATACATTAAGTGTAGCCTTACTCCCAAATTATAAGGAGCCCTACTCTTCACCTAATAGAACATCAGAAGTTTCCCCATTCAAGAATGCATATTCATTAAGAAGATAAATCATTTCCACTTTTGTCTCAGAAATCTCTCAGACTACGATGACACAGGTATAAGTACATTTTGACTTTGAGCAATGTAGTCAACTCTTTCAGGCCTCTGGTGTCTGTATTAAGTGCTCTGGATTCAGTGGTTCACGAGGTGCCTAAAAGAGTTTTTAGTTGCTTATCTCTGTGTTCCTTTATGCCGGGTGTGACTAGACCTGCTGTGCACAAATTAAAATAATTGAAGGACATTAAAATAGTTGCTGAAACATTGTTATGCTTTTAGTCAAATGTGTGTTCTCTAACCCCTTATGAAAATGTAAGTTTAACAATACCACTAGTAGAATCATGTTTCAATGCTTCCTGAGCATCCCCGAAATCACTACTGCTATGTCTAAGTACGTTTGTCAGGTGGAATTTCAGGGTATGTATGAACTGTTCATTCTGAGCAATGCATTTATATGTATTTTGTCAAATGTAAAGAACCCTACAGATATTACATTAGACCAGCTGAATCCATTTTATGGTTTCTTTTTTAATTCAAAAGCATCACATAGCAAATAATTTTTTTTTAATTGAGTCTAGTTACAAACTAGTTGTTTCTTTTTTTTTCCAGTCCCTTTTTGCTTTCTTTTACGACCACATGAAACTTGAGAAGCCACCTAAAGCTATATCATTTAGTGGAGTTGGGCAGTTCCCAAGTGTCCAACAAGAAGGCCTGGTTTAGGCTGCGATGGCCACTGTCATTCCTGGTGATTTGTCAGAAGTAAGAGATACCCAGAAAGTCCCTTCAGGGAAACGTAAGCGTGGTGAAACCAAACCAAGAAAAAACTTCCCTTGCCAACTGTGTGACAAGGCCTTTAACAGTGTTGAGAAATTAAAGGTTCACTCCTACTCTCACACAGGAGAGAGGCCCTACAAGTGCACACAACAAGACTGCACCAAGGCCTTTGTTTCTAAGTACAAATTACAAAGGTATTAAACTCTATTTGTCTTTCAGATTATATTTTCTCTTATGTTGGCCATTTGAAGCCATTGTAAGCGTATGTATTTGTATACACATCTTTCAGCTGATTTGCAGAGAGGAAATGTTAAGTAGATTAGACATTGGCTAGCTTTGAGTATTCTAAGTCACATACGTTTGTGTGTTGGTGTCTTTGGATTTTTTTAAGTAAAGTACTTGATGAGAGTAGAGTTTCCATTTGTAGAAAGAAATTACAACAAGAAAAGGGTGAGGACGTTTGCGTGAGTATTCAGTCTTGCTCATTTGTTTTAGTAATGATTGTTAAAAAACCAGCAGAAACTAAAGTGGCAACTTAAAAGGCTCAAGTTTTGCAGTATGTAGGTATTTTAACTGTCCTTGTGGTGTATGTCAAGTTAAACAGTTTTCATGATTAAGGGAATTCTGTGTTAGCATAGTAGTTTAGCTTCCATTTGAAACGTGAATACTTACCGTTTTTGTCATAACAACAACTTACAGAATATGTCTGTGTTTAAAGGCACATGGCTACTCATTCTCCTGAGAAAACCCACAAGTGTAATTATTGTGAGAAAATGTTTCACCGGAAAGACCATCTGAAGAATCACCTCCATACACACGACCCTAACAAAGAGACGTTTAAGTGTGAAGAATGTGGCAAGAACTACAATACCAAGCTCGGGTTTAAACGTCACTTGGCCTTGCATGCCGCCACAAGCGGTGACCTCACTTGCAAGGTATGTTTGCAGACTTTCGAAAGCACAGGAGTGCTTCTGGAGCACCTTAAATCTCATGCAGGCAAGTCGTCCAGTGGGGTTAAAGAAAAAAAGCACCAGTGCGAGCATTGTGATCGCCGGTTCTACACCCGAAAGGATGTCCGGAGACACATGGTGGTGCACACTGGAAGAAAGGACTTCCTCTGTCAGTATTGTGCACAGAGATTTGGACGGAAGGATCACCTGACTCGACATATGAAGAAGAGTCACAACCAAGAGCTTCTGAAGGTCAAAACAGAACCAGTAGATTTCTTGGATCCATTTACCTGCAATGTGTCTGTGCCTATAAAAGATGAGCTCCTTCCGGTGATGTCCTTACCTTCCAGTGAACTGTTATCAAAGCCATTCACAAACACTTTGCAGTTAAACCTCTACAACACTCCATTTCAGTCCATGCAGAGCTCGGGATCTGCCCACCAAATGATCACAACTTTACCTTTGGGCATGACATGCCCAATTGACATGGATACTGTTCATCCCTCTCACCATCTGTCTTTCAAATATCCATTCAGTTCTACCTCATATGCAATTTCTATTCCTGAAAAAGAACAGCCATTGAAGGGGGAAATTGAGAGCTACCTGATGGAGTTACAAGGTGGCGTGCCCTCTTCATCCCAGGATTCTCAAGCATCGTCATCATCTAAGTTGGGGCTGGATCCTCAGATCGGGTCCCTAGATGATGGTGCAGGGGATCTCTCCCTATCAAAAAGCTCTATCTCTATCAGTGACCCCCTAAACACACCAGCATTGGATTTTTCTCAGTTGTTTAATTTCATACCATTAAATGGTCCTCCCTATAACCCCTTATCGGTGGGGAGCCTTGGAATGAGTTATTCCCAAGAAGAAGCACACTCTTCTGTCTCCCAGCTTCCCCCTCAAACACAGGATCTCCAGGATCCTGCCAGCACTGTAGGTCTTGGTTCTCTGCATTCCCTGTCAGCAGCTTTCACCAGCAGTTTAAGCACGAGCACCACGCTCCCACGTTTCCACCAAGCTTTTCAGTAGGATTCTGGGACGGGGATAATTACAGAAATGTATGTGTAGCCCTGCCTTAGATCACCATTTTTATATTAGTGCCTACTTTAAGACAGTATAAAACTCTGCTTTTGTATCATACTGATTTTCATTAAGCCAGTATAAAATAGAAACTAGCTTTTTAAATGAGCTTTGGAACCATTTGTGTTCAGTTATGTTTACCTGGGTATTTTGTCCTGATTAACTGCCAATTGTCATACTTTTAGAGTTTGGGAATTTTTTTTTTTCATGTAGGAAGGCCATTATTAGCAAAGTTTTACAAATCCCATGTTCAAATTATTTGTAGGGCTTACATTTTTTCATTTTTGTTCAGTAACAATGGCTCTGCCTTTTGACATTTGGCTCATTAAAGAAATGTTGCTATAGAGTAAGTTTTATAAAACATGTGAGTAACTCAAGAGTTTTAAATTTTTACTAGCTTCTAAGTGGATTCATAATCAAGTGTTTCAAATGAATTTAGGATCCTGTTTGGGGAGATAACAAATGTTTCTTAGATATTCCCTAATTTAAAGTCAGTATATTTTGAAGACTTGCTATTGTCTAACTAAAATATTTGCTGTCTTTATTATGAGCATGTAGAGGGAAAAAAAATAAAATCCCTAAACTCAAAACACCAATATTTTTAGCAAAGGAGATTCCTAGAAAGATGACATGGCATTTGCATTATTTAATAGTTGGCCCTAAGTTAGAACACAGGGTATTTAGCCACATTTCAGCCTTCTTAATTAGCTTGCTATCTTTCCATTTAATAATATTAATGTGTTTGGCATTGGAGTCTTCAGAGTCAGTATGTGGATAAAACGCTTTAATCTTTTCCACCTCTCACAGCCAAAGGGTAAATCAAGTACACCAGCAATTTTATTTTTTTATTGTCAGTCCACGGTCAGTCCAGAATCTAGAACCATTGTGCAGCTACATACATTAAGTGTGTCTATCCCATAAAGGCCTATCTCTCAGCCCCTGTGGCGTGGTCAACTTGTAAGCAAGAAGACGAATGTAAAAGACATTGTTAAACTTGGGAACTGCTCTAAAAATCCGGGAACTGCTCTAAAAATCCTGTTCTCTGTTGCCAGGGTTGAAAACTGGACTGTCAAGGACTAAAGGGAAAGCATATCACTTATATCGCTTCTTGATGAATCTGATCCATTTTTCTTTCCCTTAAGTATCAAACGTAGAAAACAAAACAGCCCTATTCCCATGCTCTCTTTCTTATCTGGTGTGACTCCATCTTGCCATGCTGTATTTGGGTGGAGAATTTAAAGGTGAAAGCATTGGAAAAGTATTTGAGGAATTACCACAAACTTGTAAGCAACTAAAAATATATACAGTAAGCCCCCACTTTTACACATCTCTGAGAAATGGGAGGAATGTTGCAAATAAGATGCATTTGTAGAAGGGAACAAAGTAAAGTAAAACAAGCTTTATCTTAGTTCATGTAAATGTAACAATCAAGAATATATTCACTAAATAAAATAGCAACTACAAGCTTTCTTCATGTTAGACAACCACCATGATCTTTTCAAAGGTCCAATTACAATATTGTAAGGGTCAGGGAGGACACTAACCTAAGGAACATATCTATTAAGCACTTGTTAACACCTTATTTTGGGACCCCGTCTATTAGGGGAGGGGGTGGGGGGGTTATAGAAGAGTATATATCTCTTTTTAAAAAAGAAAGGAAAATATTTTTCAGCACTCATTAGCCCTATATCTGGAAGCTGCTTTCCATTTTGTAGGGCTAGTTATCACTGCAGATTGCATTGTTTACCAAGAATACCTAAAAATGAGTGCAAATTACTGAATATAGTACATTATTTAAAATATTTGGGAGTAGTATAATGTGGAGAAATGTAAATTGTAATAATGTAAATGGGGGTTTCACTATATATATTATATCTATACACACACAGACACATATATCGCACTTCATAGAATCAAAGTTGCTCTCTGGAGGAGCTTTGGCTCCTGATATTTTATCCATGCTCCTATTTTTTTTTTTTTTAATCCCAGGAGCGGTAGTTTTTTTTTACTTATATATTTAAATTTTATTATGAAAAATTGCATTTTATTAAAAAGAAGTGTGTTCCAAAGGCATTAAAAATTATATATGTTAATAAGGAAATGCATTTAAATTTTTCAAACTGCTCCTAAGCTTTTGGTTAGGAGAATATTTGCTCTGAAAGTAGGCTTTTTGCTCTGCTTCATTTCTGCTTCCTTTAGTTTCTATGAAACAGATTGCTTACCTAAATCTTTAGTTGAATGATTAGTGTTCAATATTGCTTTAATCACCATAAAAGAGGAAAAAGGAAACTTGGTGACAGAGCACAAATAAATAGAAAACTTATTTTTAAATAGAAATCATAAACAGCAAGTGTGGAAGCACTATTTTATTCTAAAATTTGCCTAAGAAAAAGTCAAATTAATGAACAGAGACATTGGCCTTTGTAGGCTGTATTTAAAAATAAAATAAAATAAAATAAAATAAAAAATAAAGGGAGTACCAAGATATATTAAGTATAAAGCATTTTGGAAATGGGCAATGGTGATACATATATATATATATACACACATATATGTACATATACATATATACACACATATATGTACGTATATATATATACACACACATATCTCTTTAAAATTATATATATATAGATAGGTATTTATATATATATAATTTTTTAAATCTTAATTCTTGCCCTGCGTGGAATTCAGACGTATGGAGGCACAACTTTCAGGGCACCAGTGTTAAAATTGTGGAGTCTTAATTTTCATATGTACACCTTTTTGCCTGTTGCTGCCCCCACAGACTTGAAACAACATTTAAAAGTAAGAGGGAATTCAGCTAACTTTTTTTTTTTTTCCAATTGACTGTAGTGGTCACTAAACCCTTTTTGAGAGAGTTTCTATTAAAGATGAGGCAGACTCATATATTTTAATTGCACAATGTTTTAACAAGGATGTAACACAGAATCGGCTTTTTTTTTTTCCGAGAAAAAAAATTGACATTTGTTTTTAATATCAACTAGATATAATTAAAAATAATTATTTGCCAATGCTGTTTTCATTCTCCAGTGGCCAGAATCATCATCCTTGACATTTCTGATAGTGCCTTAGTTTGGTGGTTAAAAAAAAAAAAAAGGGATTAACATTAAATAAAAATATTTTAGTTTAGAATTTGGACCTCAGACAAGATATTGAACCTCATTCAGTTTGACTTCCACGTGTGTGTACAGATTAGGTCACCACACACAAAAGTGTGGGTGTGGAAGGTTCTTGGCATTGTAAGCAATATTACCCACTGATGCGTACAAATATCACCTTTATAGTTACTGGTCACTGTTAAAACTTTCATTTTACAATCATATTACCAATTTCAGTTGTTTCAACTTCAGGTGTCCTGGCTCATCATACACCATTCTTTGTGCAACTTTTAATTTCATTTAGTGTTTCTTTCAAGCTGTGTATTTTTTTGCCTATTTGTTGCTTGTGCTTTATGTTTCTTAGTCATTTGTGGAACATAGTGATATATTGTGTTAATTTGGACAGTAGCGGTTTTTAAAAACCATATACTGACTGAAACATGAGCCAGAGCTGATTGCTTTATTAAGCTAATAATGAATGTTAAAGAGAACATATTTTCAGGATCATTCATCTAGTGAGCAATACACATAGGCCAATATTTTTTTAAAAAATAGAGCTTGGTCAACCTCTATACTACACATATTACAAGATATAGCACTTTCAAAAGAATCTAAACCTTTACGAAAACTTTCTTCTAGGTTATGCCTTTTATTTTAAGACTTATAATTTGTTTCAAGTGCCATTAGATGATATATATGTAGGCCTTTGATATATAATGCTTTGTGTACAAAAATGGTAGATGGTATTTTAAACAGGTACATTTTTACAGTGTTTTCTTATCAATTTGCTATATTGCACAGAATCAGTGTGTGTCTTTTCATAAGGTTTTACAATGGTTTATTTTTTTACAAGGTTTACGTGTCTCAAAGCACACTGTCTTCCCAGTACAGTATGTAAGTTAAAAAAATACCAGATCACCCAAGTTGCTTCTAGCCTACTGAGATCCATGTGACGTTGGAGGAGGTCTTTTAAACGTTGAATATTCGTCATTAGCAGTGGCGGACTGTTATCTCTGACAGATGAATGCCTGAGTTGAATTTGTCTTGTTTTGCTCACCCAGGTCAGCAGTGTGTCTACAACAGATAGCCTGTCGTGATTGCGTAGATCTTCGTAAGTTGTATTGCATAGTTTTGTGCAAAAAACACATACAAAGCTCCTTTTAGGTCATAGAAAACAAGACAATGCTACCAACGTGGGTGAAAGCACACTTAGTCCACTGTTAGGCCCTTCTATAACATTATCAACCCACCGAGAATGGAAGGCAGTGTCTTTTGATAAGTCATCTAGCTCTAGAAATGACACAGAACTGTTGCTAATGTATAACATACTTCATTGTATAAGCTTCAGTGGTACAGATGAACCCGAATGAATGTTTATCTTCTCAGAAACACTCCTTCAATATTATGTTGGATCATGCTGCTAATGTAACTTGGGATACAACTCTTCATGGTGCTACAAACTCCTCTGTCTTGTTCAGTTGTATTTTTTTACTCATAGAAAAAGGACTACATTAGGTGTAAAGGTGTACAATATATTTTTATACTGTGACTTCATTTGTCATTAACAGACTTTTACACCACCACAGTGTATTCATGTGCACTTGCGAAAGGAGATCTTGGACGTGCAAATGTTACCAGAACAAACCCAGCTTTTGTCTGCAAGGTGACTATGACTCGGAATGAAACGTGGGCTTTATAATAGGGTGTGGAGTGAAGAACATGCTGTATGTTACTAACAGCCCTTTGAATTTAACAAAAACTGGGAGTCCATTAGGAAATGGACTGCATCATGTCTGAACATGAGCTGGACTGCTGAAATTGTGTTTTTAGCTAATGAAAAAGTGTGTGGACTAGTACTCTAAAAATGTTCTAATGATAAAGTTTTGAGTCAGAATAGAGAAGAAAACAAATCTGCATTCCAGGCTGAATTTTTGTATATTTTTATTGCATTTAAAATTGCTATTCTGTGATATTGGGAAATCAAGTGGCTTATCATGTATATCATGTACTTAAAATGTATTCACAAACTACTGTTGTATTTGTATAAAATATAGACAAAGATCATATTTTTTTGTGTGTATAAGCTCTGTAAAATAGCAATCACGTTATGAAGCTGCAGTGATAACTACATTTGAAACATTCACATCCAAAGAAGCAGGCTATTTATTGTGCAGATACCCAGACTTAAAATATTAATTTGCTGCTAATTAAACAATAGTACTGCAGCTTCTTGTGGCCTACAGTGTTATGTTTGCTGTAAGAAAAAGATATGTGAATTCCACAAAATATATGAATAAAATTATAGAATGGCTTTAGATAATGTAGATCTTCCTGAAATTTTAATAGATGATCCTTTACTATTTGCTATAACATTTTTCCTTCACTTTGAATGATAAATACCCTCTCATTCGATAAATGTCAGATAGCTGGCTCCAGGACAGTTCTTTGTTGCTGAAATGTAAGGTTCAAGAGTTTTTGTTTTGTTTTTAAAACTTTTGTGCCTAAATTTAAGGGGAGAATAGAAATTGTAAATAAAAAAAATCAAAAGATGATTTATTGAAACTTTAATTCAGGTGAGTTTAGAATTCAAAAAAGGTATTAGAATGCCTCTTATTGTATCAGACAAAATTGGCATGTAGCATTCTTTTATTATAACAGTTCTTGTCTGTCAGTATTATAAATTATCCTTTTAGAAGTTCCCCCTTGGGCTTGTTTGCCCAAAAACTTGCTGAAGAAACCTCCCTTGACAATTCACGTGGAGCAGAACCGCAGTCACACACACATCGTTTCAGCTCAGCCTTGTCAGTTAGACAGCCAGTAATGCAGCTTCTGAGAGAGATGCTGTCTAAAACGTCAGTTAATAACCTGTCCAGGAACCAGTGTTAAGAATAATTTATTATGTATCGCATGATAGTGTTTTCAATGTCATAGGGAAATTCCTAGACCTTTGGCTCTCCTGCGTTCAGAGGAGTCACAAAAATGAACATTGATTCTGTGTTAGCGTGCCTTGTTCTTTTCACTTGTTTAATTCTAGCAAATCTAAAAGTAATTCTGTGTTAGCACTAGACACATTTTTTATTTAAATTTATTCATATGAAATAGCTCAAGGACAGTTTCTAGAAGGAAAATGCTATGGCTCTTCATAGTACACAAGAGTAGTATACTTTGAAAAAGCATGTTTGGAGTTCATTCATTTAAGGTAGAATCTCCTTTATGGAAAACTAACTAGAATGCAGTTTACTTATTATATCACAGATGTGATGGGGCTAAGAGCTTTTTCATTTGTGTTACAGAAAAAGTTTACACCAACAATTTATCACCAAGAATAGGAAAAAGTTGACTGTGGCTATCGATAGCATGATTTTTGTTGTTACTTTTCCTTAATTGAACATTTATTCAATAAACAGTTCTTAAGCAAAAGGGCACCTCTCTGTGCTCAGTCCTAGGGGTGTTCCAAAGAAGCAAGCTGGATAGAAAGGAGACATGTCTTTCCTAATCGAGCATCTGAGTGGAAATGGCAGCACCACCTATGGGGCATAAGCCCAACTGGTACAGTGACCCTTTCTTGTAAGTCAGAAATGGCAAAAATTGGCAATTTCAGCCAAAAACAAAACAAAACCCAAAATGCTTTGAGCTCAACTGCATTCCTTTTCTTATTTTTTTTCTCAATTTTTTTTGCCATAGGGTAGGGCACGTGCTCTCTGAAGAAAGAGGGAGGGAAAGGGAGAAATCACCCCCAGAGAGAGTGGCCATATAGCAATCCCTTCTCCATTCTCTCAGGATTTTGGGTACATACACGCTCCTGATATGATCTTCAAGCTGCTGG